TGGCGTTTGCCATGTTTTCTTAAGCCTGTTCACTTAATCAGTCTTGAAACAACTTACGAGACGGAGTTATATCGGACGTGGCGGCAGCGTTCTCCTGTTAGAACTGAAGTCATCATCTGTACCCTCCCATGCTTTCGTGATGACCTCCTGGTACATCAACCGCCCCTTTCGCCCTGTTTTCTAGTTGTCCTCATTCCCATCATAACTTCGACTCGTGATTAGAATTGATGTCCTTGTTAGGTCTTTCGGGCTGCAATGACACTACCTAGTGCTTTTATTAGATGCCAGTCGTCTTAAAGTTTCACTTAAGTATGCAAATGAAATATGCCACACAGGTTGGACACTGCCTGTAAGCTCTAAGCATGTGATGCAAGCAATTAAACATGCGGTCATGTTAGCATGTGAGCATGTAATCAAGCATGTAGCGATCAATTCTGGAGAAACCTCAAACAAATCGATTTCCTGTCTCCAATACTTAAGCCTTCAACAGCAAAGGATGACAAATCACCCGATCACTCCACCAGTTCAAGCGTCTTTGGCCACCACCATCTCCCATCAGCCCACTTTGGCTTCCGCTGATGATCTGGAGCCACCACACGTCACCCTGCCATGTACATGGGTGGCGGTTTCCCAGTATCCATGGCATCGACCTCCGCTGGATCGTCGCGCTCCGTGCAACCAATCACCGGACCTTAGTTAACGGCTTCCATTGATGGTCGGCGAGCTACCATACTTCACCGTGGTAGGCATAACAGTGCTGTCGGGACACCCTATCCGTAGCATTGACCTCGACGCATCCACTTAGCCGTCGCGCTCCATTTAAGTAACCGACGGAATCGCCATGCAAAGGCATGCCTCAACAGGAGCGTCGCTGATCGATACCGGAGAACACCATGCGGCAGCGGGATGGTACCACCCCTGGGGGGTTTTCAGTGGCGTTTCAGTGGCCAGGATGGGTGCTGGTGCAGGCGGAGCCCGCCGGTGCGGGAGCGTCCGTACCCTTCTGCGCTGGACAGCGCGCACGACGCTCCTGCTGCTGCTGCTGGCCCTGGTGTGGGCGCAGGTGCTGGAGTACCGCGCTGAGCCGGTCAGCTCGACAACGGTGCGAACGGTGGCGCCGTTCCCGCGGCTCACGCTCTGCCCCGGCCATCGACTCGAGGAGGATCTGATCATCGACCTGTACCACCAACTGATCAACGGCTCGCTCTCGGTCGTCGAGTTCTACAACCGGACCACGCTGGAGATCCTGCCAACCGGCTATGACCAGCTGCAGATCATCAGGGGCCACCGCAGAATCAGTACCGTGCCTCTGCCGGGGCCGCTGGGGGTCTGGCGGCAGCGCTTCTTTCTGCATCTGGGAAGGCGGCGGTGGCAGCCGATGCGCTGTCTAACGCTCGAGCCGGGCGCGGCACTGCACCGAAGCTGCCACAGCCCACTCTCAGTCCGACTGCTGCTGCACGTGCCCGTCCTCTTCACCAGCAAGGCCAGCCAGGTGGCCTACCGGCTGTACGTGCACGGTCCGGAGGAGCCGAGCGTGGGCGACCTGCCGGCGCCGCTCTCCGACATGCCCATGCCGGTGACGCCGGGACGCGAGCTGCGGGCTGGGAAGGTCACCGGCTACCACGTGACGGCGCGGCTGCGGCGGCTGGTCAACGTGCGCCGGCGGCCCTGTCGCGATAAGCCAGGCTACTCAGTGGCACAATGTCTGAAGGGGTGCCAGTGGCGGCGGCTGGCGGCGCGCATCGGCTGCCGGCTGCCGCACATGGTGTCGGCTGGCGTATTCCTGCCCGAGATGCGGGGCCCGCTCGACCACCTGCCCGTGTGCGAACGGCTCGTGCAGTCGGAGGTGGCAGAGGAAGACAAGATCCTTCCCTGGCCGTTCCGGGGTTCGCTCTGCCTGGACCTGAACATCTCATGGAGCCGGCCCCAGCTGGAATACCACTCATACCCGACGGCGGCGGCCGGAGGGCAGGCCGCGAATAGAGCCCCCGGCAACAGCCAGCGACGCGCTTAGAACCAGGCGCGCTCCACCTCCGCCGGCCCCATACCTAGTAAGAAGACCGGCAGCGCATCAGTACGTGCCCAGCTCTGGCGGAGGACCTGCGAGGCTGCGACTGTCCCAGCGCCTGCCGCGGAGTCGCCTATAACCTGAACCAGGAGAGTCTGACGGGAGGATGCGACGACCACGGCAGCACCGTGTCCCCGTGCTTTACGGAAGCGTTCTTGACGCTCGACCTGGCTGCCGACCAGGTTCAGGAGGCGGTCGCCTTCACGCAGAGCACGCTGCTGGCCAACATAGGCGGCTTCCTCGGCCTGGTCACCGGGTTTTCGCTGCTCGCCCTGGCGGACATGGCGGAGGCTCTGGCGTGTGGCGTCGGTCGGAGACTGGGAGTGTAGATGCACGTTGAGATCGGAGCGTCAGAGTCTTCGTGCGACTTCGGCTGAGAAAGCAGCATGGCCAGGGGAGGGAAGTCGCGGATGCCACCGTTCTGGAGACAATCGCATGAGATCCGTTGAAGAGACGAGAAGAGAAGACCCAAAGCCCGTCATGATAGCGTGGAACACTAAAGTACGGCGATACACTGAGGGGAGAGCGAGCCGAGGCACCGATTCCTAGATGACGAAACAAGCATCGGAATTTCGGTAGTAAAGCTCACCTTGGCGCCCTCCCTTGGCACCCTGGTCTTCACGAAATATTCTAATTGTTGTGTGCGTCTCTCCACG